ATCTTAAAAGTATTTGTATATATGGTGGTGGAAATAGACAACAACAAATAAAAGACGTTGCCAAAGACATAGACATCATTATTGCAACTCCTGGGCGACTGCATGATCTGCAAATGAATAATTTTGTCAACCTTAGAAGCATAACCTACTTAGTCTTAGATGAAGCTGATAAGATGCTAGATATGGGATTTCAACCTCAGATAATGAAGATTTTATTAGATGTGCGCCCAGATCGGCAAATGATCATGACAAGTGCAACTTGGCCAGATGCCATTCGTCGACTTTCACAAACTTATTTGAAAGAGCCTATGATCGTTTATGTTGGTACTCTGGATCTAGTTGCTGTAAATACAGTGAAGCAAAATATAATTGTTACCACAGAAAGAGAAAAAAGATCTCTTATCAAAGAATTCCTACACAGCCTGTCACCCAAAGACAAAGTCATCGTGTTTGTCAGTAGGAAAATTGTCGCTGACGACTTATCCAGCGATTTAAGTCTCCAAGGCCTAGCTGTACAATCCTTGCATGGAAACAGAGAACAGAGTGACCGTGAGCAGGCATTAGATGACTTTAGAAGTGGAAATGTGAAAATACTGATTTCTACTGACTTAGCATCCCGAGGTCTTGATGTTGATGATATCACACATGTGTATAATTATGATTTCCCAAGAAACATTGAAGAATATGTACACAGAGTAGGGCGTACTGGAAGAGCAGGGAAGACTGGCACGTCCATTACTCTTATGACTAAAAATGATTGGAAGACTGCCCCTGAATTGATTAAAATTCTGGAAAGATCAAATCAAAGTATCCCAGAAGCTCTTGTAACAATGGCCGAAAAATACAAGTTAGGTGAACAAAATAGAGACACAGGAAACAAATCAAAACTATTTCAACAAAAACCCAAGGAGTTTCATTAAGATGTGCAGTGAAAAGAAGTTGTGCCAGACTACCAGAAGATTCAAGATAACTTAAAGATATGCAGTGTTCAAGATACATATTGGAAAGCATTAGAAACATACTGGTAGTTTGAAGACCACTGATTATTTAATAATACCACTGAGCTTTCAATATTGTGTGTAAACTCCTTAATAAAGTCAAGTGTTTTGAAAATGAAAAAAAAGGGAGTGGAGGTATTTTGGGCTTATCTCTTCAGTTCATAAGCATGCTCCATTATCTCATTGGGCTTTACTTAGAAATCACAAGTTCAAAGACAAAATTATGAAGAATTCCAAGACAGTGACAGCAGGGTATTAAAACAAGGGTGAGGCCCTTCTGAGTGTGGGGCCCTGTGGAACTGCACATGGAGTTAGCCCAGGAACTGTGGCAGGCACGGGGATATACCACTCCTTTCCCCCTTCAGGCAAGGACCCTACCAGTGGTCGGCAAACTCATTAGTCAACAGAGCCAAATATCAACAGTACAATGATTGAAAATTATTTTGAGAGCCAAATATTTTAAACTTAAACTATATAGGTAGGTACACTGTTATTAACTTAATTAGGGTGCTCCTAAGGCTTAGGAAGAGCCACACTCAAGGGGCCAAAGAGCCGCATGTGGCTCAGGAGCCGCAGTTTGCCGACCACAGACTAGGCCAGTGACAGCGAACCTATGACACGCGTGTCAGGGGTGACACGCGAACTCCTTTTTTTGGTTGATTTTTCTTTGTTAAATGGCATTTAAATATATAAAATAAATATCAAAAATATAAACCTTTGTTTTCCTATGGTTGCAAAGATCAAAAAGTTTCTATATGTGACACGGCACCAGAGTTAAGTTAGGGTTTTTCAAAATGCTGACACGCCGAGCTCAAAAGGTTCGCCATCACTGGACTAGGCCAAGAAGTGAGGAGTGTGGTTAGCTGACAGCCCCCTGGCTGTGATTTTCTTCAGGATCTTTCTCAGCTTTAGAGCCACCATCACAATGCCCCTGGGGAAGTGCACGCCAGTGACTAAGCAAAGCAGTCTTCTTAGGGCAACTCCCAGGAAATGACCAAGATACTGGTACTCGGAGCTGGCCATTTCCACCCAACTCAGGACTCTTTAATGGGCATCCTTTGCCCACGGGGAGGGCAGAGACTTCTTTGCCTCCTGCCAGTTCCTGCCCAATCTTTCTTCTGCATTTTCCCTCCCACAGGTCTAACTCCCAATAAACCTTTTGTATTCCTACTTTCATCTCAATGCCTGCATCCCTGAAAACCCAATCTGTACCATCTTCATTAGGAGGTAATGATTTGTTCTGGAAGAATGACTAGAGAGCTTCCAGGCAAAAATTCATGTAGAGGAAAACGAAGCCCAGGAAGCAGCGTAGTGAAAAATCATGAAACATTGTGCTGCTCTTTTTTTAAAAAATATATTTCTTTATTGATTTCAGAGAGGAAGGAAGAGGGAGAGATAGAAATATCAATGATAAGAGAGAATCATTGATTGGCTGCCTCCTGCATGCCCCCTCCTGGGGATCAAGCCACAACCCAGGCATGTGCCCTTGACTGGAATCGAACCCTGAACCGTTCAGTCTGCAGGCCAGCGCTCTATCCACAGAGCCAAACCAGCTAGGGCAGTATGGACATTTTTTTTATGAATAACTTTTGTTTATAACTAATTACCATGTAATAAAAATTGATCATTTGCATTACCAAATATGTAAAGGAAGAAAAACCAATTAGGTAAGGGGTGTGTGTCTGTGTATGAACTTATATTTCTTTGTCTCTTAAAATGATTATATCTTCTTTTGTTTTTTCTTTTCTTCCCTTTTTTCTTTTTTGTCTCAAAGGTCTGTATGGTCACTGCCATCCTCTGATGTTTCTAATAATTCTTCTTATCCATGAGTACGGTATATGCTTCCATTTATTTGTATCTTTTTCAATTTCTTCATTAACTTATAATTTTCCAAGTATAGTGCTTTTACCTCCTTGGTTAAATTTATTCCTAGTTATTTTATTTTTTTGGATGCAATTGTAAATTGGATTTTTTTTTTAGTTTCACTTTCTGATAGTTCATTATCTATGCTAATAAAAGCATAATATGCTCATAGAACGGTCCTTCAGGACAACCTTCTGGACGAAGCTGGGGCTGCGAGGGAGGCTGGGGTCCTGGGTGCCTGCCAGCTGCCCAGGTCCCAGTTGCCGGCAGCTGGGGGAAGGAAGCCCTACTCTTGCACAGATTTCATGCATCCAGACTCTAGTTCAGGGGTCCTCAAACTACGGCCCGCGGGCCACATGCAAATACAAATATTGTATTTGTTCCCGTTTTGTTTTTTTATTTCAAAACAAGATATGTGCAGTGTGCATAGGAATTTGTTCATAGTTTTTTTAAAAAACTATAGTCCGGCCTCCAACGGTCTGAGGGGCAGTGAACTGGCCCCCTGTTTAAAAAGTTTGAGGACCCCTCCAGTCTGGTTGGTATATAAAAATGCAACCAAGCCTTGGCTGGTGTGGCTCAGTTGGTTGGATCGTTGTCCCAAAGTGTGCTGGGTTCGATTCTCAGTCAGGGCACTTACCCAGATTGATGGTTGGATCCCAGTGGGGACTCGTGCAGGCGACAACCTATCATTGTCTCTCTCCCCCCACACCTCTGAAATAAAATTTTAAAAATGCATCTGATTTCCAAATATTTATCCTTCCTGTTTCTTCTTGCAAATAAAAGTACATATTTTTCTTATATGAAGGCACAGACACACACAAATAAATATACATATGTGTTATATATTCCTTTATACCTTGATTTTATCACTTATATTCTGAAAAATCACTCATATCAGTTCATAGAAACCATCTTCATTATTGTATATGGCTGCATACTGTTCCACTGTATAGACATATCAAAGTTTATGCAAACATTTTCCTACGGATGGGCATGCAAATTGTTTAGAATATGTTGCTATTA